TCTTAGTCTAGAAACTCTGCTGAAACCTGTCTACCATGGGTGACCCTGCTGGTATTTGAAATACCAGTGGCATAGCCTCTAGCCTCACAGCAACACACAAGCCACCACAGTACAACAAACTGACAGGCTGAAATGGCAACTAAGTAGTCTTAAATTCTCTAACAAGGTTTCTTGCAAGTATGAAAACAGAGAGTTAAGGTATTAAAGCTTTCTTCCATATAATAGCTGAAAAATCACCTTATCAAAGGGAAGTAACCTTTGTTCAATTCCTGTAAATACTATTACTTCACTAGATAGTTTACATTGTTGTTATTTGCCATCAAGTCAGACCGAATCATAGCAACCCCTCCTTGGGTTTCCAAGGCAGTATAACTACAGAAGTAGATTGCCCAACCTTCCTTCCAAGGAGTGGCTGGTGTATTTGAACCACCAGCGTTCTGGTTAGCAGTCAAGTGCCTTAGGCGCTACGCTACCAGAGCTCTTAGATGGTTTATATACATTATATTATTTAATCTTTACAACATCCCTGACATCTGCATGCCAGCTCTTCCTCTTACTAGCTAAATGACATTAAGAAAATAACTTCTTAACCTCTCTGAGCCTATCTGTTCCTCCATAGATAATCCAAACCCAACCCATGCCATCAAATTGATTCCGACTTACAGTGACTACCATAGAGTTTCCAAAGCTGTCAGTCTTTATGGAAGCAGACTGTATCATCTTTCTTCTGCAGAGCAACTGGTGGGTTTGAACCACCCACATTTTGGTTAACCTCAAATGGATAATAGTACCTTCCTAAACACCATGCTGCATCTCCCTAGACCCAACAGGTCCCTGGACATTCTTCCCATGATGAAGGGCCCATCTTCTACAGTGGGGAAAGAAGGCAGTGGTCTCTCTTAAACAGAACAGGCCAGGATCTCTCAGCTTGAGCTCTGATATATGTATGCAAGGGACTGGTTTGTAGAAAATGGATTTTCTTATGCCCCAAATATTAGCTCTCCTTTTTTCCCTTAAGTATGAGGGGAAAATGTTTAAATAACCTCAGTCAATTTGGGGAGATCATCTCTAATATCGCAAGTTTCTTCCTCTTGTTTTGACTCCTCGGCAAGAGGAGCTTGAAATGTCTTAACTTGGATACATGGGCATAGTTTAGGAGTCTGTTGTCAATTTGATAGTCATCAGGTCTCTCTGTAGGAGCTCTGGTGGTGTAGTGCCTAAGGTACCTGACAATAAACCAGAAGGCTGGTTGTTCAAATCCACTACCACTCTGCAAAAGGAAGATGGGGCAATCTACCCACCAGCCACTCCTCGGAAAGAAGATTGGGCAATCTACTTCCATAGAGATACCGTCTTGGAAACCCAAGGAGGTGTCGCTATCTATATTTGGCATCTTGAGCTACTTGCCATTCCTCTGAAACACCAGGCTCCTTGGTACACATTGTACACATTGCATATCTTGTGTTCCTTGTAAACTTTACCTGGGATTCTCTTCCCTTTCCTTTTCATTTGACAAACTTTCATTCAGTTTTTAAGAACCAACTCATGTTGTCTCCTATGGTGTGAAGCCTTGCACCTCCCTTTGTCCCAACTGGTTGTTCTGTCCTTGCTCACATGGCACTTTGTTCATTTCTCTGAGTTGCACTTGCCATGCACTCACTGTAAGGCATCTGTTCACACATATGTTTCTCCCAAAAGGTCAATGATTAAGGGCCAAGGAACATCCCTGGCTGTATCCCTCCTTCTTTGCCTCATTCCCTATTTCCCCTCATTCTCTCTTCTCTGGGATTGTACTCCCCAGTAAAATGTTCACAAATAAGCTATTGTCTCAGACTCCATTTGCTAGGGAATCTGAACTAAGACATATCCTCAGTGCTTACAAAGTGCCTAGTGTAGATGATAAGCTCAAACATTGGCTCAATAAATGAGGATCTGCATCCCCAAAACTGACAATTAAACACCACTATAGGCAACGGGCCACCACTTCTCTTTCTGTTGTATTGTGATGGCTTGAGTGTTGCTATAAAGCTGGAAGCTTTGCCAGTATTTCAAATACCAGTAGGGTTACCCATGGTGGACAGGTTTCAGCGAAGCTTCTAGACTAAGACAGACTTAGAAGAAGGACAGGGCCATCCGCTTCTGAAAAAAATTGGCCACTGAAAGCCTTATGAATAGCAGTGAAACAATGGAGGACTGGGCATTGTTTCATTCTGTTGTGCATAGGGTCACATTGAGTCGGAGCCCTCTCAACAGCACCTAACAACAACAGCAACATGGGCAATGGGAGGAACTCTGCTGGTGCAGTGGTTAAAGTGCTCGGCTGCTAACCCAAAGGTTGGTGGTTCAAACCCATCAGCCACTCTGGGAAAAAAGATGTGGCATTCTGCTTCCATAAAGATTTACAGCCTTGGAAACCCTATGGGGGAAGTTCTGTTCTATAGGTCATGAGTCAGAATCAACTTGACTGCAGTGGATTTTTTTTTCCCCCTGTGGACAATGGTACCTATTATCATCTTTGGGCAATCTATACTTAGCTTTCTTGCCTTTTAGGACATGTAGGAATTCAAAGGAACTTTTTCTGGTTAAATTTATTTGTAAACATAAAATGAAGCAATGCTATCGATAATTTGATAGATACCCCTCTTTGCAAACAATAATCTTTGAGGTGGAAATGGCCTTGAAATCAGTCCTTTTCCTCTCACTGGGGTCATCTCCTTTAACTGTACCGACTTTATCTGTAACTGCAACACCACCAGTGAGATGGGGAGCTTTGTAAGGCTGAGCCAGAATGAGAGGCTAACAATGTTCTGCTCTTTAAAATCCCTGATTAAAAAAATCTGTAGGGTTTTCATTGGCAGATTTTAGAAGTTAAGTCATCAGGTCTTTCTTCCTAGTCGGACTTAGTCTCAGAGCTCTGCTGGAATCTGTTCAGCGTCACAGCAACAAGCCCCCACTGACAAAGGGCTGGTAGCAGTGCTTGAGAGGCATTGGCCAGGAAAAAATCCAGGTCCCCAGCAACAATCTGATTCTGTTGGCAGGGGGTCGCGGTGAGTCAGGGGCTGTCTCAATGGCAGCCCCAAACAACAATTTTAAAAATGCTTTTGGCCTTCCTACTTCATTTCAACAGATTATTGTAGTTGAAACCAGTTAATTTTAGTTTCAATCTCTTTACCTCTTGGTTTGACAAAGACTACCAGCAAATAAAAGCAAACCAGCAAAATGTTGCTAGGACAGAAAAACCATATATTAAGACTACAGGAAATGCTAGCTCAGAATTTTTTCCATCCTGTTGCAAACTTAATGTAGGGTCAGGAAGCCAAAACCATTTAGAATAAAAAAAGAATCTCAGTGGGAGACCAAGTGTGGCTGTTGGGACTAATACAGTGGACTCAAGGGTAGAATAACCACAGGATATATGGTTGGTTCTATGTTGGCCTCCCCCACTGGGGCTGGAACTGTTTCTTCCACCTTGTATGGCAGAGAGCCTGGCACACACCTAAGTCAATATTTGAAAGCATGAGAGGTTGTAGAAGCATTGATTTTTATGGTTGTCTGCGAGGCTTATTCCAATTTCATAGTTCCAAAACAACTGCTTCATATTTCATAGAGGACTCATGCCAGCCAGAACCAGGAAATCCATTCAGTCATAAGGTCTTTTGTTTGCTCATAAACAGAGTAAACCCCTGTGTGAGGATAGCTTGTCATCAGAGACTGTCCAGATTGGCCTGTGTGGTGGTTACATTTGTGTGTCAACTTGGCTGGGCCTGGTTGAGTGGCTGGGCAGCTGAATGTAGTTATTCCCCATGGTGAGATTGGTAATTAACTCCATGGTGGAATTTTTAGAGCAGCTAAGTAGCTGCTTTGGGTATGTGGTCTGCTTCCTGTATTTAAGAAACAGCTTTGGGAATGATCTTTAGCTTATGGCATGCTTGAACCCGGCATGTAGCCATGTCGTTGTTCAGCGCCTGCCATGCTCTGCTGACTTTGGGACTTTCAATGGACTTAAATTAATGACGTGCCATGTGGTTTGGTACCATCGGGACTGTGCCATTTTATTTGTTGACCTTGGGCTTGTTAGGCTCAGCAGCCAGTAGCTGCCTGAGTGAAGAGATGCCTCTAGATTCAGTGGACTGGGAGCAAGAGGCCGAGCTGAAACCCATAAGGTTGAGGGGCTTTTATACAGCCCCTAGAGCCTGGCACTTGGAACTCAGACTTCTAGCCTCCCGAACTGTAACAGAATAAACTCCTGTTTGTTCAAACCATCCCATTCGTGGTATATTCCTGTCAGAGCGGCACTAGGTAACTAGAACAGCCAGCCTTAAATCTCACCTTTCACCAATTAAATGTTCAACAGTATCCCGTGATATTGGAGTCCATTCCTTTATTTTTAAAAAAATATTAAAAATTTATTATTATTTTATTTTATTTTAAAGTGAAATTGTAGCCTCTACTTTCTAAGACTTACAGGTGTACTAGCTTATTATGTACATACAGCTAGTCCCCAACTTATAGTTTACATTATTGTTGCCTTTTATTATCAGTATATTTATAAATCTGCATTCATTTGTTTTTGAGGAGTTGGAAACATTACATATAAATTTACAGATATATTTTAATATTGTTGGGGGCTCTGGTGGCATAGTGCCTAAGGCATTTGACTGCTAACCAGAAGGCTGGCGGTTCAAACCCCCAGCCACTCCTCAGAAGGAAGGTTGGGCAATCTACTTCCATAGTGATACTGCCTCAGAAACCCAAGGAGGGGTCACTGTGAGTCGGATCTGACTCAATGGCAGTGAGTTTGAGTATTTTAATATTGTATGTAATACATATTGCTAATGATTAGATGTATACACACATGCACAAGATGGCTGTAAGTGTGAATCATCATAACTTGAATATGTCATATGTGAGGGACTACATGCATAGTATTAACATCAGATTCCAGTTTTCTACTCACCCTTGAAAAGACAGCTTAAGGAGATTATAGGGCAGATACCTACCTGAGTGTAATGGCCACAGACTCTCTGGCATTTCTGAGTTTTGAAGTCATAATATTGGCTTTCATCGTACCACCCTGTGATGGCTGAAGACACAGAAAAGACGGATACAGACCCGGTCCAGATATTTTCTCCCAGTGAAGTGAAATTTGGGTGTAGCCGGTGCGGTGGCCTCAGCTGTACGTTATGTTTAAACTGGCATGATTTTGCCCATGCCTTTGCAATCTGGGCTAATACTGGGTCCCAAGTCTGCAAAATAAGTATTAAATAATAAAGGACATCAAGAAAGGAAAACTGTTACTCCACAGTATAACTGGGTTAAGCAGAGGGAATTTTAATGGGAAAGGAGATGTGATAACAAGGATAGAGAAGGAAACACTGCATGTGGGTCCTCCCCATAAATATGATCTTTAAGTCACTAGGGCTGGCTGGCAGGAAATGCAATGATGTGGTTTTGTGGAATTTAGAATGTAAGTGAGAGAAATAGACCAACATTACGCTGAAGGCCTATTATGTGCAAAGTACTGTGTGCTGTGTTTCACATGTATTACATAATTTAATAATCACAAGGGCCCATATCCCAAGAAGCTCAGGAAGTTTTTTGGGAAAAAAAAAAAAATAGCTCAAAGGCACAGAGCTGGGTTTCAAACCTTGTTGTTGTTGTTATGTGCCATCAAGTTGGACCCGACTCATAACGACCCCTCCTTGGGTTTCTGAGGCAGTATCACTACGAAAGTAGATTGCCAGTCTTCCTTCCGGATTCAAACCTTAAGCCTGACTAAATCAAAATCCCACTCTTTTCCCCAGATGCCATGCTGCCCTCCAGAGAAAATCAATTCTCTGCCAGCAACAAAAACAGTAAACCTAGAGATGAAAGTCACAAAAAGGGGGGGAGGGCGACGTTGGAGGGGGGGGAAGAAGTAAAATCTACCTATGACTAGAGGAAAAGAAGTGTCCAAAAAGAGAAGTAAAATGCACTTGCATATAACAAGAGTGAGGTAGACAGAGTGAAACTGGGCGTGTCTTGATCACAAACTGTGAATTCACTGAAGGTTAATCATAAAGAAAAAGTCTTTCAAGGTTACCAAGGATTTCCACCCCAAATCAATATGCGTAGCCTGTTTTTGACTGGCTATGCCATCAGTACTGCTATTTCCTTACCATGTATAGCATATCACTGGCTGCTGGGTTCACCTCTGATCGGAACTTGTTATGAATTCGAACGCAGTCTTTGATGAACTCTTCATTTTCAATACCTGGCAAAGTATTTGGTTTATAGCAGTAACAGGAGACTAAAGAGACCACCCAGGCCGTCGTTGCAAACGTAGCTCGCATGCTCGCTCTGTCTGCTATGGAGCCCTGCAGGCTGAGGTGGAGCTGATTACAGATTCTGCAAGCCTGCCTGCTTCCTTCACAGTTCTCCGCCCGCAGCTATACAAAACACAGCAGACTTCAGCTTTGACAAAACAGAAAGTAGAATGAGTCCACAAGTTTGAAGACATGGGTTTCTCCATATATGGTTGACAGCTTATTTTGTACTCTTCACCCTGTCTTTTCATTGGTTCTTTGTGACACAGCACTTATTGCAACAGAGGTTTTTATGAGGCTTCATCAGACTTTGTTTTGTGGTGGGAGATCTTTCCAAAGGAAATTTTGTTATCTCCAGAAATAAGTCTCCATTTTTTTTTTAATTAAGAGTTTTGCTGATTAAATAAAATCACATCTTTTCCTTCTCTTAGTGTCTTCCAAAGTATTTTTAAAAAAACTTTTTTTAGAGTTGTAGCAGCACACATACCTAGTTGGTATATCTAGTTAACATTATAACTTGACTTAGATTTCATTCATGAAAGTATAAATGTGTGTGTGTGTAGAAGAGAAGGCAGAGAGAAAAAAAAGAAAGAGCACTAACAGTAGAAAGAGCATCAGTCTCAAATCTAGATTTGAGTTCAAGTTCTGTTCAGAACTAGCTGTAAGGATGTGGACAAGTTATCAAATTCACTGAGCTTCAGCTGTCTATTGAATGAGGCTAATGTGACCTCTTCTGTTTCCTTAATGCCAGAGGGCTTGGGAGGGTCAAGTGAGCTAGTTATATACTAATTAAAAACAACAAAAACCAGTTGAGTTGACTGACTCATCGTGACTCCTGTGTGTCAGAGTATGACTATACTCCATAGGGTTTTTAATGGCTGATTTCCCTAAAGTAGATACGAGGCCTTTCTTTCAAGTCACCTCTAGATAGACTTGGAACTTCAACCTTTTGGTTACTAGCCTAGTGGGTTAAGTATTTACATCATACAGAACTCCAAACTAATTCAACACATAGAGGTATACCTCATTTTATTGCACTTCACTTTATTGCACTTCCCAGATACTGGGTTGTTTTTTTTTTTTTTTTTTTTGTATGTGTGTGTGTGGCAACCCTGCGCCAAAGAAATCTATTGGTGCCATTTTTATAATAGCATATGCTCAATTCACATCTCTGTGTTACATTTAGGTAATTCTCATAATATTTCAAACTTTTCATAATGCTATTACATACGTAAGAGACTACAGTGTAATATAAACATAACTTATATATGAATTGGGAAACCACAAAATTTATGTGACTTGCTTTATTATGATATTCACTTTATTGTGGTAGTCTAGAACTGAACCCACAATATCTCCAAGTTATGCCTGAATTCTGTTCCTGGTCTGTGTATTAGGCTTGGTAATATACAGATCATTCAACCATTTTAGGAGGTACCATATGATCAAGAATGGTGCTGAAGAAAGAAGTCCAAGCTCTCTGAAGATGGCAATAAATAAGGCTACAGGATTGACAGAATGTTAATTCAGATGTTTCAACAAAAGGCTGCAACACTGGAAGCACTCACTTGTCTATGCTAAGAAATTTGGAAGACAGCTAGCTACCTGGTCAACCCACTGTGAGAGATCCATATTTGTGTCCATTCCAAAGAAAGGTGCTTTCCAAATAGAATGTGGATATTATTGAACAATGTCATTAATATCACACACAAGTAAAATTTTTCTGAAGATAATTAAAAAACAGTTGCAGCAGTACATCAACAAGGAACTGATAGAAATTCAAGCTAGATTCAGAAGAGAATGTGGAACGAGGAATATCATTGCTGGTGTCAGATGGATCTTGGCTGAAAGTAGGGAATACCAGAAGATGTTTACTTGTGTTTTATTGACTATGCAAAGGCATTTGACTGTGTGGATCACAAAAAATTATGTATGACATATTGAACAAGGGAAATTCCAGAATACTTAATTGTGCTCATGAGGAACCTGCATATAGACAAAGAGGCAATTGTTCAAACAGAACAAAGGAATATTGTGTGGTAGTTAAGGTTGTATATCAACTTGGCCAGGCCTGGTTGAGTGGCTGGGCAGCTGAATGCAGTGATTCCCCATGGTGAGACTGGCAATTAGTTCCATGGTGGAATCTACTGGAGCAGCTGAGTATCTGCCTTAGGGATGTGGGCTCCTTCCAGTGTGTACAAAGCAACTTTGAGGAAGGTCTCCATCTGATGGCATGCTTGAACCCTGCATGTAGCTGAGTCATTGTTCAGCACCCTGCTGTGTTTCCCTGCCAATCTTGGGACTTCTAACAGAATTTAATTAATGGCCTGCCATGTGGTTTGGTAATATCGGGACTGTGCCTTTTCACTTGTCAACCTTGGATTTGTCAGCTTCAGCAGCTAGCAGCCGCCTGAGTGAAGAGATGCCTCTAGCTTCAGTGGGCCAGGAGCAAGAGGCAGAGCTGAAGCCCAAGGTCGAGGGGCCTTCACCCAGGCCCAATGGCCTGGCAGCTGGAACTCAGACTTCTAACCTCCAAAACTGTAAGAAATTAAACTCTTGTTTGTTAAAGCCATCCCATTTGTGGTATTTCTGTTAGAGCGGCACTAGGTAACCAAAACATATTGCATAGTTTAAAATTAGGAAAGGTGAGCATCAAGATTGTATATCTGCACCACATTTATTCCATATTTATGCTGAGAAAATAATTGGAGAAGATGGCATCAGGATTGGAGGAAGACTCATTAACAACCTGTGATATGATGATGACACAACCTTGCTTGCTGAAAGTGAGGAGGACTTGAAATACTTATGATGAAGATCAAAGACTACAGACTCCAGAATGGATGACACCTCAACATAAAACAAAAATCCTCACAACTGGACCAATAAGCAACATCATGATAACATAAAAAAGACTGAAGTTGTTAAGGATTTCATTTTACTTGGACCGACAATCAACACTCATGGAAGGAGTAGTTAAGAAATTAAATGACATATTCTACTGGGCAAATCCACGGCAAAAGACTTCTTAAAAGTGTTCTAAAGCAAAGACAAACATGTACCTGACCCAAGCTGTAATATTTTCAATTACCTCACATGCATGTGAAAGCTGGCCAATAAATAAGGAAAATAAAAGAATAATTAACACATTTGAATTATGGTGTTGGCAAAGAATATTGAATATAGCACGGACTGCCAGAAGAGGGAACAAATCTGTCTTGGGTGAAGTATAGCTAGAATGTTCCTTCCATAGACATCAAGCTGGGTAAAGTAAGGGTCAAAAAAAAAGGAAGGTCCTCAATGAGTTGAATTGACACAGTGGCTGCAACAGTAAGCTCAAACAGAGCAAAGATTGTGAGGATGACACAGAATGGATCAGTGATTTGTCTGTTGTTTGTAGGGTCACTGTGGGTTAGAACCAACTGAACAGCACCCAACAGCTACAATTTAAAGATAACACAGCCCCTGCCCTCAAGGAACTTACAATCATAAAAGCTGATGAGGACAATTTATACAGGGGTTGAAGATCTGGATAGAAGAAAGCACAGAGAGATAAGGAATCACAAGAGAGGCCACAACCCATTGTGAGAGCCAAGGATGGTCCCCTACAGCAGAGGTTTTCACTGATGCTAGAAGCATTAACACCATTAACTGGGTGTTAACTGAAAAGAGGGATGAAGAAATGAAGGGAATTAGGGGCAAAGGAATTACATGTCTAGTTGTGAACTAGGAAACCTGGTGTGATGGAAAGAATAAAGAAAGAAGCACTGTGCAGATGTTTCTGTTTATAGACATAGTCTTCAGGTATTAAATATTACTGATAGGAAACATGACACCTGGCCTCATGGAATTCACAATCCAAATGATGCTTTCACACCTGTTGAGAAGAGAGATAAAGCCAGATCAGGGCGGACTTCTGGACTCTGTCAATCATTTGCATTTTATCACCACAGTAAAGGAAAAGTATTGGAGGGTGGGATGTGATCTGGTTTTAGAAAGCACTTATCTTTAGAAATCAAGAGACAGGGTGAATGGAATGGGGCAGGGGAAATGTTTCTCATGGAAACCCTTAAAAAGCAAAGAAGGATTCTAGAACCACAAAATGGAATTCTTACAGTTGCCACACACAGAGAAGTATCTCCTTGCCCAGGGCTCAGAGGCAACTTTTTGATGAAGGTAGTGATAATCAATAGTGAAATGTTCTTCTTGCTTGAGGTGATAACCAAGCCTTGGGTCTGCTTCCTATAGTCTTCTAGGTTTCTGTGAGCTAGACTGTCAGAGTCTTAAACATTAAAACAAAACCAAAGAAAAGCCAATTAAAAAAAACAAAAACAGAGCCCTTGCAAGCAGGGACATTTTGCAGTTGCTTGTGCAATACCAGTTGTAAACAAATAACTTCCAAAAACAAGCAATGCTATCTAGATTTTTAAAAAGAATTTTTCCACCAATTTCTTGAAAATAATCAGTAAAAGAGCAAGTCTACCCTCCACAGAGACTGGGTTCCATTATTATGCAGAACAAGTTAGCTCTTCAGAGCCACAGCCTTCAAACTTCTCAATTCACACTAAATTTCCTCAAGGAAGTCCATAGATGGGTTTACCCTACTATGTTGTTGTTGTTGTTGTTATGTGCCGTGGAATCAGACCGACTCACAGTGACCCCTCCTTGGGTTTCTGAGGCAGTATCACTAGATGGGTTTACCCTATTATGTTGTTGTTGTTGTTATGTGCCGTCGAATCGGACCGACTCACAGCGACCCCTCCTTGGGTTTCTGAGGCAGTATCACTATGGAAGTAGATTGCCCCATCTTCCTTCCGGGCAGTGGCTGGTGGGTTTGAACCGCCAGCCTTCTGGTTAGCAGTCAAGTGCCTTAGCCACTATGCTACCAGAGCTCCCTTACTCTACTATAGTAGGAACTTTTTACCTGGAAGCAAATACAGAGTGCCACTTGATAGCAGGCCTACAGTTTCTCTATGATTTTCCCACTCATTAACCTGGGTCTTTATCATGATAAACATGAGTATGTG